TGTGTATAGAAATTATGCCAATGACTTGACTTGAAAAATCTGTTGGTATGTTAATAAACAATCTATGAGACCATTCAGAGTCCCAAACATAATCTGAATCTTCCGCTAATGCTGTATCATCTGTTGAATTTTGGGGTCTGAAAGTTTTTCTTGCTTATGAGATTAAATCAAGATTATGTGTGGAATAATCTATGATGAACCATGCTAAGATTTTTTGTAAATCGTGTTTAACATTTTGTGAAACGTCGTTACTGGTTAAATTTTCACGGATTGCTTTTAAATATTCGGAAAATATCGTGATTTCATGTCTTACACTTGTATGTTTTGATGTTTGAACTGGTAAAGTTCCTTGGGATTCTGGTTTTTCTAATATAGATAATTAGCTATAAATTATTCGAAATACTTCATTACTAAATATCGAATTTGCTCTTTGCGAAATTTGGTGTTGTATATTTTTTATATATTCTGTGAATACTTTTGAAAACTCTATATCTAAGTCGTCTGTTTGAAGTAAATACCTACCATGAAATTTACTTGGGCTCCGTAATTCTATGGTATAGATTTCGTACTGTTGTGTCAGTGTACATATTCCCCTGAGGTAGTGGTCGACAATTTCTCTTTTGATTTTTATTTCTGAAAGTTCTGCTGCGCATGGGCTAATTCCTTTTTCAAATAAATTTGCTAATAATTTTTGACAAAATTTTGTTTGTCCTCTATCTTCAGTGAGGGAAATGATTATAAATGGGAGGATGGAGTTTTTATCTTCACTTTCTTCATTTATACTCATTTTTGTGCTTTATGACTGTCAATTTGTAACTTTCTATGTGTTTTATTGGTTGATTTCAATTGTATAGTCGTACTGGTTTGTTTTTTGTGTGTTTTTTATTCTTCTTTTCCTTGTATTGATGAATGTGATGTGGTTTCTGAGTCAGAAAAATATAATGTAACATTAACTGGGTAGTTCTTTTTTATTGAGTCTTTCAATCTATAAAGTTCTTGTAAATGACTTGTTTCTGATTCGGAGAATGCGTTTCTTTGTTTTGAAATTTTTTTCGTGTAATTTGTCTTTGTTTGCTTAAAACGACAAACAATCAAATTTTTCGTTTGATTGTTTGTCGTTTGGTTCTGATATATCCTGTTGACTGTCTGTGTGGAGTGATTACGGGATCATATTTCACAGTTGTGTAATATGATTGTTTGTTTATTTCCTAAATTGTCTACTGACATAAGGTTTAGGATGACGGATGCAATATTTGGATTAGTGAATTTTACAATGCTTAAATTGTTAGTCCTTACAATTTTTTCGGTTTAGCCTAACTTGGGTCTTGTTTTTTAGGGTTGGAAAGAAAAGCATATATCGATTCCGAAGAATGATTGTTAGTTTCTCATGGCTAGTCCAAGTTAAGGTGTTAACTTACTTAATCTTACTTAGGGGTAATGATTGTGTTCAAGGGTTGCAGAATAGTAAATCGATCCACAAGGTTCAGGTATAATTAGAACACAAGTAGTTCGAAAGATACTATTTTAAACTTACTAAGTTTAAGTAATATCTTTGGTGAGGTAAGAGGGGGGATCAAGTGAAGGATGAATAACCGAAGTTCTTCACAGTTTATCTTAATTAGAATGGTTAGTGTTATTGAAAAATTTCTGTTAATCCTGGGTCGTAGAAAGGGTTGGATAGTGAATCGACGTTTTAGGTCGTTAGACAATATGCTAACTGTGTGGGGGGGGGGGGAACAAAAAAAATTCTATTTGATCTTTTTATCAATCGTTATTGTACAATATTAAGTTTAGCGCCTGTAGTTATCGGTGAAGAATTTTCTTCAATGATACTATGTCTGCAAGTGAAAATCTAAATTCATTGCTAATAAAACTCTGAATATAAAAGTTTGTGTTGGCTTTTGCCGTACGACCTTGAAACTTATGGGTAAGTTCCGTTGTAGTCGTATATCGTCTCTTGTCCGAGGTTTTCTTCCAATACCGGGAGTTCTCGTATTGTTCGGAATGATGGCTCTGATCTATCGAGTTGTAGAGACATTTCAATTAAATTATTATTGTGTAACATTTTTGTGATTTTGTCTAAGTCCAATCTATTTTTTGTTAGTTTAAACTACTTTATTGCCTAAGGTCTTATTCGAGACTTATGGTCGCACCAGATGAGTTATGACGGAAGGTCTAACTCATAGAGTAATTTCAGATAAGGTACACCGTCTGCTCGTCACGCTAACTTATTTTCGGCCGGATAATTCGTGCAACTTCTTAGTCTAATACCGATCTTAATCTTACTCTTATATCTCTTAGTCTCAATAGATCTAGAGTATACTGGTTTGTTACGAGTTGGTCTCTTGGAAAAGGCAACTAAGCTGTAAGTTAAATTCAGAATTCTCTGGTGATGAAACTACAACTAGTTTCAGCACTTACAAATAAATGGGTTGTTAGTTAGATGGAGAATGATTGGTTAGTCTTCAATAATTTATAGGGAAAAATTATCTAATTTATAACCACTAATATTATACAGTTTGGATCAGGTTCCAATTAACACCACTGTTGATTTTATTGAGCATTCAAGAAAATTACGAAAGATCTTTCATACAGGATTTAGTGATAAGCTGGTTGAAATGAGAAGTAAATTAGACTGACTGAATTCCTTGTGCATTGATTCACTGGACGCCGATCATTTAAAATGGTTTTGTGCACCAGAAGCATTGCACCTAGACTATTTTTTCTCGAAAAAAGAAATACCAGTCCTAATCATCAAGTATACAAAACACAAGCCATCAGCTTAATATATAATCACAGGGAACCACATCTGCTGCCGCCAACAATGTCACTGCTGTTAGTTATATTTAACAAGAAAATTTTGAATCATCTGCATCAACAGCTTTTTCCCAAACAATTAGCTCTCAGAAACCCAAAGTTTTGATCGCCAGCTACCAAGTTTGCTTGAGTTTGGGAATGATAAAAACAATTCTTCTCATTTTCTAAATCAGCGAAACACGCTCAACGCAGATGCAAATTCGTCTGCACCGAATCCACACGTTGCTTTCCCAAGTGTACATTAATCATCCCTCACTACTTTTAACCACGCTCGCTACTGATTCTTGTTCAAGGTCTGGTTGCTTCCAAGAGTTTTCCAAAATTACAAAACATTCATTATGCCACTGACTCTCAAAATTGAGTCATGGGGGTCGATGTTTTAAATTGCAATTTTGATCAATCACCAGTGTCTGTCCAGTGCATGAGGTTTTTCAGTGGACTCAATTTTCGCCTTAAGCGAAATCTAATACCACGATGAAATCCTTAAGATGATGATCCAATATATCAGCTTCTTTGTTTTCTTGTTTGAACAAATCTGTAAAAAATTTATTGCTAAATCCGTATCGAGATCACACCTTGTGATTTTTGTTTATTTCAGGACTTCTCGATGAGCCTAAGGGCTCTTGTACTTTATCAGTGCGTTGAACAGCGTATGCAAACTTTTTTTTGAAAATCAAATGTTCAGACTTTCAAAGTTTAAAGAATAAGTTAAAGATGAGAAAAAGTCTGACTTTACTCACAAACGAATTCTAAAAAACTTTTTCAAAAGTTTGTCCAAAAAACTATTGTCCCAAGTTTTTTTTAGAAAAATTGTCACAAATTTGGTTGCAATTTATGACTAAAAAATTAATTGTGAAAGACATATAGTTGATAAAGGGAATTGGTAAGCGTATACTAGATTTTATGTGGTACCTGATCCTGCGTGGAAAACTAAAAACAAAAATGTTTAAAGCTGACCTGAAAGCTGGTGAGAAAACATTTCTAGTTGATTAAAAAAATTGATGGAATGAACGGAAAAATTTAAAGAAAATTAGTCGTTTTTTCGTTTTTTGTCATGTTTAACCCCACAACAAATCCAAACTAAAATCGTGATTGATTATAAATACATAAAAAAGGCCCCATAATGATTGTGAAAATGTTAAATCCCCGCTAGTTAATGTGAAATTTATGAAAATAACATATATCTACGGAAAAAGTTCAAAATAGAAACATCTTTCTAAATTAGAATATAAGTCATCAATTTTTTTCTGATTTGAAAAAAAAAGTTAGCATGATTTTTTCTTTCGAACTGTTCAATAATTGAAACAAAAACTTGCTGAGATCCTTGTCAACTGTGCATGGTAGGATAAACATCAACAACTAGCACACAGTCAGAGAAAAACGCCACTGAAAATCATGTTTTCTGAGAACTTTTCGAGCCAATTTTTATCACTGTCTAAGTGCCCGAGTTTTTCAGACGCAGCTGGTGGACGTAGTGGTAATTAAAATAGGAGCCATGGGACTCTTGGGCACAGTAGCGGTAGTCAGTGTTATGCTGATCAAGACACGGGAGAGATTGGGACTTACGAGGGAATGTGCAATACCCATCAATTTGAGACTGTCGGGTGCGAATTTTAGAGTCATCTACATGGCAGAATGAACTCCGCTTTAGTCCTCGATTTTGGAAGATGGATCCTGTAGATGAACTTTCTGTAAGGAAAGAACTTTGATGATTCTGACCAGTTCATTTTTGGTCAAAAATTCCTCAGATTAGTATCCATCAATCAAATAGCGCACTTATGCATATCAGGAACCCAGACTGGAAGTATGTTAAGCAACCAGTGTGTAGCATAATAACAGACAAAAACAGAGTGTCTTATTGAACCCACTGAACACACCAGTTTCAACCCAACATGGAACAAAACTTCCCAACGCTTTGCTGGCAAGGACAGATTATCAGGAGACGCCGATTTTGAGAAAATATGACGTAGAGAACTGTCAAATTGTGCTAGCCGGTACGTAAAAACAAGAAGGAAATTTCCTCTGACCTTGAAACCTTGCACTAGGCTTTAAATGAGCAAAACAATCCTATATTTTCGTGAGTTGTCACAGTAAAAGATGTAGTCTTCCTTCTTTCTTCCATACAAGTCATATAAAATCTCTTTCAAGCACACACTCACCTATTCCTCTCTATAAATCCACCTCCGCCTTACGTCAGTTCAATCATGGTTCTTCCAAAACGATGCTCAAAATAATATTTACAAATACTCGCCAACATTGATGACAAATTTTACAAAAATTATTATTCAAATCAAACTCAAAACTCAAACTTAACGTAATCCACACTTAATAACAAAACAATGTTAATCCACACGAAGGAGCAATTAATCAAAGACAAAATCATAGTTGTTTTAAAATCAGTCCAAACGCTTTTAGCCTTTCAGTGCTTCGCTTGACGCGTTACAGTACTGACACCTTCCACGAAAGCTGTTCGGAACAATACATTCGCGTTATTGAACAGCCCGTCTTTAAGCGAGACGACTATGAATTGCGAGGACTGAAACTTCGTAGCAATGAGCCTTCCTATGTTCTGGGTGTGACTAAGATCCAGTGCTGAGTCTATCTCGTCCAGAATGTACAATGGCGCCGGGTTGAATTTGAGCATGGCTAGGATGAGTGAAATTGCGACCAGTGACCTTTGACCTCCAGATAACTCAGTCAGACTTTCCTTCCAGACTGTGCCGAACCTGAGATGAGAACGGAGTAACGCTACTAATGATTTAAACAGACTTCAAGAAATGGGCATCATTTATTCAACATTTACATTGCTTGGTCAAATTTCTTATGCATTTAGGCCGAATTGAAAAAAACTTCCTTCTTAACTAGTCTCAGAAGATTACATTATAACTTTATTTAAAAAATTTAAAAAAAAACACTGATCAATTCATTTTCATAGGGAATTCTCGAGAAAATAATCACTTTAATTAATGCCAAAAACACTTGCGGCTACTTTGATTGACGATTGAAAAAATTCAACCTGCAGCGGATCTCCAGCCCATCCAATTCCGTTTGACCGGCCGGGGGTTTCAACTCGGCAAAAGCGTAATCCAGAAGAGTGTTGAGAATGACTCCGAAGTCCTTGTTCACTCTGGCTATGGCCTCTTTCAGCGCCTTCCGCTTCTGCTCATCCAGATCTGCCATCGTTCGCTCCAACTTCGCCTTGTCTTTCAACACCGTGTTCTTTTTCACCTATTTATAAAAGGCTCCATTAATAAATTCGTTAAATATCTGACGATAGTTCCGATCAACCGTAAACCCCCCCCCCCCTTAGCATATCCCCCCTAGCCACATAATAGTTTTGAAAATTAATTCTGTATGATGAATGCATTTCGAATAAACGCACAAATAAAATTAGTTTCTGGTTTCACAATTTTCATGTATGATTTGAATGTTAATAATTAATTAACTAAATTATTGTATTTTCAATAAATTGACTCTCATAAAACTGTAAATTTTGTATAAATCTCGGCTATACTAAAAATTCCTGAAAAAAACCATATCCCACCTCCCACCTAAATCGATTGAGGGAGGAGGTACTGTACGATTGATCCAGATAATTCTCAATTCTGAATGATTGGAGTATTTTGAATGCAATCGTAATTAACAGCTATCATCAATTTTACAATGGTAAATTTTTGTTTCAATAAAATTTCCTAAAGTGCCATAGCAGTAAAAGTGTTCGATTTTAATTATAATTATAACGGTGATATTTTTTCAGTTTTCTTTTTAACCTAAGGTTGAAGGCATACAATAGCTATAACTACTCTATTATAATTATGACCGATGTTCAAAATTGTCTATAAACAAACTATTTCACTTTTTTTGTTACCTTATTTCACAACTAGCATCAATTTTGCAATGGAGATTTTAGCTCCAAAAATGTCATTTAACGGAATTGCATTAAAAAGTTTTCATTTTTTCATTTTCATATTTAACGGAAATATTATCCTAAATTTTATCCTAAACTCTCTCCTGCATAATTCAGTTTATTCACACTAATTATCGCCTTTCAGCACTTTTCTCTTCTACTAGTCCATATAACAAGCTTGATTACGACCTTAATCAAATTCAATCATGCGTAATTGAAATTCTATCTTAAATTTGAGATAAGCCTGATTTGGTGCAGCAATATATCGTGCCAAATTTTAAGCACCCGGGTTGAGGCTGTGGTTTTATGATCAGACGGTCGCGACCAAGTTTTGGTATGCTCTGACTGCCGGGACCGAAATTGGATATTTTCAGACCGCGGCAACCAAAATTTGGTATTTCCAGACTGCCGCGACCGAAATTGGATAATTTTAGACTGCCGCGACCAACAAAATGTGGTATTTTCAGACTGCCGCGACCAACAAAATGTGGTATTTCCAGACTGCCGCGACTGAAATTGGATATTTTCAGACTGCCGGGACCGAAATTGGATATTTTCAGACCGCGGCAACCAAAATTTGGTATTTCCAGACTGCCGCGACCGAAATTGGATATTTTTAGACTGCCGCGACCAACAAAATGTGGTATTTCCAGACTGCCGCGACTGAAATTGGATATTTCAGACTGCCACGACCAACAAAATGTGGTATTTCCAGACTGCCGCGACCAAAATTGGATATTTTCAGACTGCCGCGACCAACAAAATGTGGTATTTCCAGACTGCCGCGACCGAAATGGGACATTTCAGACTGCCGCGACCAACAAAATGTGGTATTTCCAGACTGCCGCGACTGAAATTGGATATTTCAGACTGCCGTGACCAACAAAATGTGGTATTTCCAGACTGCCGCGACTGAAATTGGATATTTTCAGACTGCCACGACCAACAAAATGTGGTATTTACAGACTGCCGCGACTGAAATTGGATATTTTCAGACTGCCACGACCAACAAAATGTGGTATTTACAGACTGCCGCGACTGAAATCGGATATTTTCAGACTTCCGCGACCGAAATTGGATATTTTAAGACTGCCGCGACCAACAAAATGTGGTATTTCCAGACTGCCGCGACTGAAATTGGATATTTCAGACTGCCGCGACCAACAAAATGTGGTATTTCCAGACTGCCGCGACTGAAATTGGATATTTTCAGACTGCCGGGACCGAAATTGGATATTTTCAGACCGCGGCAACCAAAATTTGGTATTTCCAGACTGCCGCGACCGAAACTGGATATTTCAGACTGCCGTGACCAACAAAATGTGGTATTTCCAGACTGCCGCGACTGAAATTGGATATTTTCAGACTGCCACGACCAACAAAATGTGGTATTTACAGACTGCCGCGACTGAAATCGGATATTTTCAGACTTCCGCGACCGAAATTGGATATTTTAAGACTGCCGCGACCAACAAAATGTGGTAATTCCAGACTGCCGGGACCACAATTGGATATTTTCAGACTGCCGCGACCAACAAAATGTGGTATTTCCAGACTGCCGCGACCAAAATGTGGTATTTCCAGACTGCCGCGACTGAAATTGGATATTTTCAGACTGCCGCGACCAACAAAATGTGGTATTTCCAGACTGCCGCGACCAACAAAATGTGGTATTTCCAGACTGCCGCGACTGAAATTGGATATTTTCAGACTGCTGCGACCAACAAAATGTGGTATTTCCCGACTGCCGCGACCAAAATTGGATTTTTTCAGGCTGCCGCGACCAACAAAATGTGGTATTTCCAGACTGCCGCGACCAAAATTGGATATTTTCAGACTGCCGCGACCAACAAAATGTGGTGTTTCCAGACTGCCGCGACCAAAATTGGATATTTTCAGACTGTCGCGACCAACAAAATGTGGTATTTCCAGACTGCCGCGACCAAATATGGTATTTTCAGACTGCCGCGACCAAAATTTGATATTTTCAGACTGCCGCGACGAACAAAATGTGGTAATTCCAGACTGCCGCGACCAAAATGTGGTATTTCCAGACTGCCGCGACCGAAATTGGATACTTTCAGACTGCCGTGACCAACAAAATGTGGTATTTCCAGACTGCCGCGACTGAAATTGGATATTTTCAGACTGCCACGACCAACAAAATGTGGTATTTACAGACTGCCGCGACTGAAATTGGATATTTTCAGACTGCCACGACCAACAAAATGTGGTATTTACAGACTGCCGCGACTGAAATCGGATATTTTCAGACTTCCGCGACCGAAATTGGATATTTTAAGACTGCCGCGACCAACAAAATGTGGTATTTCCAGACTGCCGCGACTGAAATTGGATATTTCAGACTGCCGCGACCAACAAAATGTGGTATTTCCAGACTGCCGCGACTGAAATTGGATATTTTCAGACTGCCGGGACCGAAATTGGATATTTTCAGACCGCGGCAACCAAAATTTGGTATTTCCAGACTGCCGCGACCGAAACTGGATATTTCAGACTGCCGTGACCAACAAAATGTGGTATTTCCAGACTGCCGCGACTGAAATTGGATATTTTCAGACTGCCACGACCAACAAAATGTGGTATTTACAGACTGCCGCGACTGAAATCGGATATTTTCAGACTTCCGCGACCGAAATTGGATATTTTAAGACTGCCTCGACCAACAAAATGTGGTAATTCCAGACTGCCGGGACCACAATTGGATATTTTCAGACTGCCGCGACCAACAAAATGTGGTATTTCCAGACTGCCGCGACCAAAATGTGGTATTTCCAGACTGCCGCGACTGAAATTGGATATTTTCAGACTGCCGCGACCAACAAAATGTGGTATTTCCAGACTGCCGCGACCGAAATTGTATATTTTCAGACTGCCGCGACCAACAAAATGTGGTATTTCCAGACTGCCGCGACTGAAATTGGATATTTTCAGACTGCTGCGACCAACAAAATGTGGTATTTCCCGACTGCCGCGACCAAAATTGGATTTTTTCAGGCTGCCGCGACCAACAAAATGTGCCATCGTTCGCTCCAACTTCGCCTTGTCTTTCAACACCGTGTTCTTTTTCACCTATTTATAAAAGGCTCCATTAATAAATTCGTTAAATATCTGACGATAGTTCCGATCAACCGTAAACCCCCCCCCCCCCCTTAGCATATCCCCCCTAGCCACATAATAGTTTTGAAAATTAATTCTGTATGATGAATGCATTTCGAATAAACGCACAAATAAAATTAGTTTCTGGTTTCACAATTTTCATGTATGATTTGAATGTTAATAATTAATTAACTAAATTATTGTATTTTCAATAAATTGACTCTCATAAAACTGTAAATTTTGTATAAATCTCGGCTATACTAAAAATTCCTGAAAAAAACCATATCCCACCTCCCACCTAAATCGATTGAGGGAGGAGGTACTGTACGATTGATCCAGATAATTCTCAATTCTGAATGATTGGAGTATTTTGAATGCAATCGTAATTAACAGCTATCATCAATTTTACAATGGTAAATTTTTGTTTCAATAAAATTTCCTAAAGTGCCATAGCAGTAAAAGTGTTCGATTTTAATTATAATTATAACGGTGATATTTTTTCAGTTTTCTTTTTAACCTAAGGTTGAAGGCATACAATAGCTATAACTACTCTATTATAATTATGACCGATGTTCAAAATTGTCTATAAACAAACTATTTCACTTTTTTTGTTACCTTATTTCACAACTAGCATCAATTTTGCAATGGAGATTTTAGCTCCAAAAATGTCATTTAACGGAATTGCATTAAAAAGTTTTCATTTTTTCATTTTCATATTTAACGGAAATATTATCCTAAATTTTATCCTAAACTCTCTCCTGCATAATTCAGTTTATTCACACTAATTATCGCCTTTCAGCACTTTTCTCTTCTACTAGTCCATATAACAAGCTTGATTACGACCTTAATCAAATTCAATCATGCGTAATTGAAATTCTATCTTAAATTTGAGATAAGCCTGATTTGGTGCAGCAATATATCGTGCCAAATTTTAAGCACCCGGGTTGAGGCTGTGGTTTTATGATCAGACGGTCGCGACCAAGTTTTGGTATGCTCTGACTGCCGGGACCGAAATTGGATATTTTCAGACCGCGGCAACCAAAATTTGGTATTTCCAGACTGCCGCGACCGAAATTGGATAATTTTAGACTGCCGCGACCAACAAAATGTGGTATTTTCAGACTGCCGCGACCAACAAAATGTGGTATTTCCAGACTGCCGCGACTGAAATTGGATATTTTCAGACTGCCGGGACCGAAATTGGATATTTTCAGACCGCGGCAACCAAAATTTGGTATTTCCAGACTGCCGCGACCGAAATTGGATATTTTTAGACTGCCGCGACCAACAAAATGTGGTATTTCCAGACTGCCGCGACTGAAATTGGATATTTCAGACTGCCACGACCAACAAAATGTGGTATTTCCAGACTGCCGCGACCAAAATTGGATATTTTCAGACTGCCGCGACCAACAAAATGTGGTATTTCCAGACTGCCGCGACCGAAATGGGACATTTCAGACTGCCGCGACCAACAAAATGTGGTATTTCCAGACTGCCGCGACTGAAATTGGATATTTCAGACTGCCGTGACCAACAAAATGTGGTATTTCCAGACTGCCGCGACTGAAATTGGATATTTTCAGACTGCCACGACCAACAAAATGTGGTATTTACAGACTGCCGCGACTGAAATTGGATATTTTCAGACTGCCACGACCAACAAAATGTGGTATTTACAGACTGCCGCGACTGAAATCGGATATTTTCAGACTTCCGCGACCGAAATTGGATATTTTAAGACTGCCGCGACCAACAAAATGTGGTATTTCCAGACTGCCGCGACTGAAATTGGATATTTCAGACTGCCGCGACCAACAAAATGTGGTATTTCCAGACTGCCGCGACTGAAATTGGATATTTTCAGACTGCCGGGACCGAAATTGGATATTTTCAGACCGCGGCAACCAAAATTTGGTATTTCCAGACTGCCGCGACCGAAACTGGATATTTCAGACTGCCGTGACCAACAAAATGTGGTATTTCCAGACTGCCGCGACTGAAATTGGATATTTTCAGACTGCCACGACCAACAAAATGTGGTATTTACAGACTGCCGCGACTGAAATCGGATATTTTCAGACTTCCGCGACCGAAATTGGATATTTTAAGACTGCCGCGACCAACAAAATGTGGTAATTCCAGACTGCCGGGACCACAATTGGATATTTTCAGACTGCCGCGACCAACAAAATGTGGTATTTCCAGACTGCCGCGACCAAAATGTGGTATTTCCAGACTGCCGCGACTGAAATTGGATATTTTCAGACTGCCGCGACCAACAAAATGTGGTATTTCCAGACTGCCGCGACCAACAAAATGTGGTATTTCCAGACTGCCGCGACTGAAATTGGATATTTTCAGACTGCTGCGACCAACAAAATGTGGTATTTCCCGACTGCCGCGACCAAAATTGGATTTTTTCAGGCTGCCGCGACCAACAAAATGTGGTATTTCCAGACTGCCGCGACCAAAATTGGATATTTTCAGACTGCCGCGACCAACAAAATGTGGTGTTTCCAGACTGCCGCGACCAAAATTGGATATTTTCAGACTGTCGCGACCAACAAAATGTGGTATTTCCAGACTGCCGCGACCAAATATGGTATTTTCAGACTGCCGCGACCAAAATTTGATATTTTCAGACTGCCGCGACGAACAAAATGTGGTAATTCCAGACTGCCGCGACCAAAATGTGGTATTTCCAGACTGCCGCGACCGAAATTGGATACTTTCAGACTGCCGTGACCAACAAAATGTGGTATTTCCAGACTGCCGCGACTGAAATTGGATATTTTCAGACTGCCACGACCAACAAAATGTGGTATTTACAGACTGCCGCGACTGAAATTGGATATTTTCAGACTGCCACGACCAACAAAATGTGGTATTTACAGACTGCCGCGACTGAAATCGGATATTTTCAGACTTCCGCGACCGAAATTGGATATTTTAAGACTGCCGCGACCAACAAAATGTGGTATTTCCAGACTGCCGCGACTGAAATTGGATATTTCAGACTGCCGCGACCAACAAAATGTGGTATTTCCAGACTGCCGCGACTGAAATTGGATATTTTCAGACTGCCGGGACCGAAATTGGATATTTTCAGACCGCGGCAACCAAAATTTGGTATTTCCAGACTGCCGCGACCGAAACTGGATATTTCAGACTGCCGTGACCAACAAAATGTGGTATTTCCAGACTGCCGCGACTGAAATTGGATATTTTCAGACTGCCACGACCAACAAAATGTGGTATTTACAGACTGCCGCGACTGAAATCGGATATTTTCAGACTTCCGCGACCGAAATTGGATATTTTAAGACTGCCTCGACCAACAAAATGTGGTAATTCCAGACTGCCGGGACCACAATTGGATATTTTCAGACTGCCGCGACCAACAAAATGTGGTATTTCCAGACTGCCGCGACCAAAATGTGGTATTTCCAGACTGCCGCGACTGAAATTGGATATTTTCAGACTGCCGCGACCAACAAAATGTGGTATTTCCAGACTGCCGCGACCGAAATTGTATATTTTCAGACTGCCGCGACCAACAAAATGTGGTATTTCCAGACTGCCGCGACTGAAATTGGATATTTTCAGACTGCTGCGACCAACAAAATGTGGTATTTCCCGACTGCCGCGACCAAAATTGGATTTTTTCAGGCTGCCGCGACCAACAAAATGTGGTATTTCCAGACTGCCGCGACTGAAATTGGATATTTTCAGACTGCCGGGACCGAAATTGGATATTTTCAGACCGCGGCAACCAAAATTTGGTATTTCCAGACTGCCGCGACCGAAACTGGATATTTCAGACTGCCGTGACCAACAAAATGTGGTATTTCCAGACTGCCGCGACTGAAATTGGATATTTTCAGACTGCCACGACCAACAAAATGTGGTATTTACAGACTGCCGCGACTGAAATCGGATATTTTCAGACTTCCGCGACCGAAATTGGATATTTTAAGACTGCCTCGACCAACAAAATGTGGTAATTCCAGACTGCCGGGACCACAATTGGATATTTTCAGACTGCCGCGACCAACAAAATGTGGTATTTCCAGACTGCCGCGACCAAAATGTGGTATTTCCAGACTGCCGCGACTGAAATTGGATATTTTCAGACTGCCGCGACCAACAAAATGTGGTATTTCCAGACTGCCGCGACCGAAATTGTATATTTTCAGACTGCCGCGACCAACAAAATGTGGTATTTCCAGACTGCCGCGACTGAAATTGGATATTTTCAGACTGCTGCGACCAACAAAATGTGGTATTTCCCGACTGCCGCGACCAAAATTGGATTTTTTCAGGCTGCCGCGACCAACAAAATGTGGTATTTCCAGACTGCCGCGACCAAAATTGGATATTTTCAGACTGCCGCGACCAACAAAATGTGGTGTTTCCAGACTGCCGCGACCAAAATTGGATATTTTCAGACTGTCGCGACCAACAAAATGTGGTATTTCCAGACTGCCGCGACCAAATATGGTATTTTCAGACTGCCGCGACCAAAATTTGATATTTTCAGACTGCCGCGACGAACAAAATGTGGTAATTCCAGACTGCCGCGACCAAAATGTGGTATTTCCAGACTGCCGCGACCGAAATTGGATACTTTCAGACTGCCGTGACCAACAAAATGTGGTATTTCCAGACTGCCGCGACCGAAATTGGATATTTTCAGACCGCCGCGACCAAAATTTGGTATTTTGAGACTTTGCGGACCGAGGCAATGTTACCGCGACCAAATGATGTTAACCGCGAGCGATATATTCAAATTTGAATTTTTCTCATTGGGTGGACGAGTAATCTCTAAGAGATTCAAACCCCTGATAACCCAAAGGGCCCCCTCGAAAAAACCTTAGACCCGTCCAGATGTAACGTTCTTCAATTTATGCTAGTTGATTTCATTCAATGTTTCTTTTTTTTTTAAATAATTGTATATGGTTCTCAAAGCAACTTCGGCGTTTTGGAAATCACACTTGGGCTTGATCTCTGGTTACTCCCGTATGGGCTCAGTCAGTTAGCCCCCAATCAGTTCTACTGATGATAGAGAGGCTTCAAGGTATGGGACACAGTTAGTAAGAGCAGTAACCGTAAAGTGAACAAGTTCAAGTTTTACTTTTGAAACCGAATAGGGATGCCTACGACTAACGAGTTTCAGAAACTTTGAGTGATGAATTTGAACTATTTTCTTACTTAATTTGGTTTTACACCGACTACGATTGAACAATCATTTTAAATATTGATGCTGAGCTTGGACCTTATGTCATTAACCTGTCTAGACAATGCCATGAATCTGCTGCTTTATGTTCATACACAATTTAATTTCTTTTTTCAAATGTTTTCGGATATATATTTTTCCCTCTCTTTGAAGATCTCAAATTTCGTATTTCATTTGATAAAGTTGATCGACAAAAACAAATTCTTAGAATTTCACCAACCTTAAGCTCCTCGCAACTTCTCTCCGCCTCTTCAAGCATACTCATCGCTCTCATGTTTACCTTCCTCGAAAGCGAGTCTTTATCCTTCTGAAGTTTGGCCAAGTTAGCCGCGATTCTATTCATATCATGCATGGAAAAATCAAATGCCGAATTAGCTTGTCCGAAATACATACACTCTTTCGCTACCCAATCGTATTTGTTTTTCAGCTGTTCGATTCGTTTCTTCGCATCTTTTCCCGCTTTTTCAATCGACTCTAATTTATATTCCATCTGCTGTGCTTCCAACTTATTAGCAGTTATCCCATCGGTTAACTTATGCATTTCTTTGTACTTTTTCTCCAACTCAAGATTAGCTTTTTTCAGCCCTTCTTTCTTTTCATTGTAACTTTTTTTCGCTTCAAAACTTTCTCCTTTCGCTTGGTTCAAATTTTCTCGCGCCAAATCGACCTCTTCTTTCAGTTTTTCTGCCTCTGCTTGTTTAGTTTCTAACTCTTCTTCATTCGAAACGATCTCTTTTTCAATCGCACTAATTTCAGCTTTCAAGTCCAAAACAGCGGTCGACATTTTATCATATTCAGTCAACACATTCTGCAGTTTAGACGATGCTTGTTTTTGGCGTTCGATCGATTTTCTCATCTCGTTTTGCTTAACTTCTGCTTCATTTTTAATCATCTTTTCCAGTTCCGCAATTCTCATTGCCGAGCTCTCAGCCAACTTTTTGTTTTCGTCCAAATTAGCCAAAATTTCTTCCAATTCTTTACGCAAACTTTCAACTTCTTGTTTCCGAATTCCAGTGGAACTATTTTCCAGCCGGACCTGCAAAGTCTGAAGTTCCATCGAATTAGACTCTAATTGACGTTTCAGATTTTCAAACTCTTGCGCCTTTTGTCCCAATTTTGCCATCTCCTCTCGAATTTCATTTAGTCTTCGCTCAACAACAACGTGTTTGTCTTGGAACTCTTTTAAGGCAGAAGCAATCGCAATCACCGATTCTTTGTTAGGCCTGGAACCGCCTCTCAAGAGTCCGTCAGGGTTGAAACTATCTCCTTGGGTAGTTACTACAGGGGTTCTCACTTGAGAATCATAACACACGTCTTGAGCTTTGTCCAAATCATTGCAGATCAGACTATTACCCAGAGCAAACTCCATTGCATTTCTAATATCCTTCTCAAACTCGACGCATTCCAAAGCGTGATGAACATTTTTGTCTCCAGTGATGCTTTTCGCTCTTCTGACAATATTTCCATTACATACTCGACCGGATATTTTATTCAGAGGGATAAAGGTCACTCTGCTTTTCAGTTGGCCAATTTTTAACAACATTTCCGCTATTCTATCATTGTCAACGACCACGTTGAACAACTTGCCGCCTGCGGCGACCTCGACTGCTAGTTGGTTTTCCTTGTCCTTAACATTAAAAAGAGTAGCTAGAACGCCTTTGACTGACTCGTCTTTAAAATTACCTCCCGGATGTCGGTAGCTAAACTGCAACCGCCAGTCTTTCGCTTTCCAACTTTCAATTTTGCTTCGCAACTTGTTCGACTCGATTTGCAAATTACGCGCTTCGGTATTCAGACTAGCAAAAGCGTCTTCGTCAAATCCGAGTTTAGCCATCTTGGCTTTGATTTTCTTCACCTCGTTTTTCAGATAATCGAATTTTTTCTCATCATCGCCACCAGAAGCAGTCATATTATTCAATTCTCGTTCTTTAGAGGTCAAATCAGTTTTGACCTGTTTCAGTTTACGTTCTAGTAATTCGATTTCCGAACTAGCTTGTGACTTTTCCGTATTCGCAGCATTTAGCTGCTCGTGCAAGGAGACCGCTGCGCCTGCTTCGTTTGCGTACATTCCCGATTTCGCGGCCTGGACTAAATTTTGAGCAGCTTCTACTTCTTTCTCTGCCTCGTCTTTTTTTATTTGAAACGCCTCTACATTCTCACTCAACATTTGCAAACTTTTCTGACTTTTCTCTAGATTCGATTTTTCCGTCTTGATAGTTTTCTCAATCTGGACAATTTTCTTGTCCAAGTCTTTCATTTGCTTTTCACGATGTTCGAACTCGCTTGACGCTTTCGCCTCGGCATTTCTAGTTTCGTTCCACTTGACTTCCAAATCTTTCAGAACCGAATTGCGTTCCGCTGCTTGTTGCTTTTCCAACTCTTTCGCCTCAAACGTCAAAGTGTCAATCGATTCCATACTTTCCGTAATGGCATCATTTATTTTTTCAATTGCCTCTTGCTGAGCTTGAACTTCGTCTGCATTGGATTGTGCTTTTTGATCACATTGGTGATACTGATACGCGACTTCAAGTTTGGTCAAATGTTCAATTTGACGAACCATGTCTTGGTATTGCAAATACGACGCTCTTTCCTCTTTCAAACTGCTCAATTTCGGCATGATTTCCTCGGTCAAAACATCCGTTATTTGTTTCAGCTTTTCTTCTTTCTTTTCAATTGTTTTCTGCGCCTGTTCACGTTTGCACTCGTACATTCGAGTTCCAGCGGCTTCTTCGATCATCGATAAGATTTCAGGAGGTTTCATATTTAACACTTTCGTGATTCTTCCCTGCATAATCAAAAAATGAGGATTGTTCACATTTAATTGCACGCTTCGGAAAAAGTCAACAACCCGCTGATTGGTTGCGTTTAAGCCGTTAATCATGTATTTATTTTTACCGTCGACAACAATCTGCCGAGAAACTACAATTTCTCGCTCGTTTTCATAGCCAATCGGACTTTGAGCTCGGTTAGAGTTGTCAAACGTGATTGAAACGGTAGCTCTTGTAACGCCTGCGCGTCCATTTTTGTACACCAAATCGCTCAAACCAGTTGCACGTACATTACTCAAATTAGAGATTCCCAAAACGAAGCAAATAGAGTCGAGGATGTTGGATTTTCCGGAGCCGTTCAGTCCTGTGATTGCGTTGAATTCTGAGTCGAAAGGTCCGATTGTCGTCCTGTTTGCGTAGGACTTAAACCCGTCAATTGTGATTTCCTTGATGTACATTTTGCCTAGAACAATTCACCGACCATCTGAAAATCACTTTTAAGAGTTATTACATCAAAGTGGACATTGGTTAGAAGGCACTTTAAAAAATGAGTTATGAGAAAATTGGTGATAGGTCAATAAGCCGAATGGCCAACAAACCAAAAATAAGATTACCATTCCAACAAGCCAAAAAAAAATATTGCTAGGCAACATAACAGATTGTAACTATTGTTACACAATTCAGCTGCAATTTAATTAATCTGATGTAATTTCGGCTTCAAGATATGGCGGTTTGTTGAACATCCACCAAGAAAATTTGACGTGCCATTAAGCAGCTGCTTGCAAACATACTAGCGTGTAATGCACCTCCGGTGCTTCGAATTTTTAGTAACTCATAAAAAACCGCGTAAATAGGGTAAGTAACTCCAAATTTTTCAAAGTTTTTTATTCAAGTTTTTTTAATACATATTTTGAAAAACCATAAAATTTTGTGAAGTTTTATATAAGTTCTTCGAAAAAATTTTAAATGAATTAAGAAACGCCATCTCTGAAACTAAAAGCAATTGAGCAGTCGCATTTGAACGCAAGATTTGCAGCTCCTGTGAGTACTCTCATAGTACTCAACTACAGCGTTGGGAATTTCTAACTTTGAGAACCTTCAAATTTAAGGTTTCTAAAAATTTAATTTTTGAAAAAACCATAAAAAACGTCATATCTCGAAAACTACAAAAACTTGAGCAGTGTTATTGGGAGGCAAAATTCACAACCCCTGAGAGCACTCTGACCGCCCCCAACTACAGGGTTACAAATTTCAAAATTTGTGAACTATTTTATAAATTGAGTTTTATGAAAAAAAATTCTATAAAATCACAAGAAACGTCATATCTCGAAAACTAACAAGATTTGAGCACTCATATTTGGAAGCAAGATACGCAAACCCTGACAACCTGAGAATACTCTGACTGCGCAGTACAGAATTGGAAACTTCGATTTATGAAAAAAATTTAAGTTCTCTGAAAAATTTTGAAAAATCCTAAAAAACGTCATATCTCAAAAACTACAAATATTTGAGCAGTCATACTCAGAGGCAAGAATCTCAACCCCTGAGAGCACTCTGACTGCCCCCAACTACAGGGTTACAGATTTCAAAATTTGTGAATTAATTTGTAAATTGAGTTTTATGAAAAAAAATTCTATAAAATCACAAAAAACGTAATATCTCGAAAACTAACAAGATTTGAGCATTCATATTTGGAAGCAAGATTCACAATCCTTGAGAGTACTCTGACAGGACCCAACTATAGGGTTCGGAATTTCAGATTTATGAAAAAAATTAAAACTAAATTCTCTGAAAAATTTTGAAAAAATCCTAAACGTCATATCTCGAAAACTACAAGGATTTGAGAAGTGAGATTTGGAGGCCATATTTGCAACCTCTGAGACGAAAATTTCAAAAATTGAGACATTTTTTAAAATTAAATTTTCTAAAAAATTTTGAAAAGTCTCGAAAATGGCCGTATCTCGTCAGCTAAAAGGATTTGGCTATTCATATATGGAGGCCAGAATCGCAAAACCTGGTAAAACCCTGACAGCATCCCACTATTGTGTTGCTAATTTCAAAATTGCTGGATTAAACACTGAATTTAAACTGGAAAATTGAAAAAAAATCTTAACCATTGCAATATATGATATAGCTTAAATGTGAAAAAATTCTTTCTTTAAACATGCAAAATTATTATGCTTCAACATGGGAGATAACTGTCACTCGCATTTAAATATAGTATAGATGACGCGTTTGGGATATCGAATCCTGCTATTCCAGCAGGGTATAGTTCCTTATTTTATAAACTGTTTGAACAGCAACAGTTAATTGAACGACAGCTCCGCATGTTTGATACGGCTTTCATTTATAGGCTGAGAAATTCGTGTTCAAAAACAAAAACACACAAAGCCAGAGCTGTGTACACCAATTGCGATACAATGTTCAATTTGAAATTATGCCGAAAAAATATCGCTAGCTTTGAATAATCATTGAGAAAATTTAAGCGGCAACTAAGAATTTTTGCATTAAATATTTTAAGATTGAAACTTCTTAGATACACCAGCCCAATTTGAGAAACCTGGATAAATAAATAACTTTTTCATTTCGCTGGGAACTCTCAATTGTAAAATACATTTTTTAAACCAGAAGTCATGCCGTTTTTTCGTGCCATTTGAATTTAAGTTAATCGAGAGTCAAATTTGCCTTTCTTGCGGAAATGAAATTGAATTGAGCTACGAAAAATCAAAACACGAAAACCCTGATTTAAGCGTGAACAACTTTTAAAAAATTTTAAGAAAAAGTGAACACGATTTTTATAAGTTTCTTCTATGTTCGTTGAAAATTTTATTCAAAATTTACAACAACAAGGTGGTATAAATCAAAATTACTTTCAATTATGAAAAATAACTTAAATCTCAGGAAAAATCTGTGCCGTTGCAACTAAGCCGACAAAAAACAAGCAGACAAACGAGAGGATTCGAACCCAAACTAGAGGTCGTGGCAAGATTTGAACGCAGGATGTTTGCCGTTCAAAATGAAGATGTTACTTCTGTGCCAAGCGAGCAGATGAAGCACGGGAACTTCTTTGTGTTACCTGGATGACGTAGTCATAGCAACACCGACCCTGGAAGGGGTGCCGGACATCAAGCCGACGGGACTTCAAGCCGAATCGTAAAATTAGGGACTTCAAGCCGAATAGTTCCTTATAAACTAGTGAAATATGATTAATTTGAAAACCATTTTGAAGAGTTTCCGAATTTCATGATCTTTCTTCACAAGTTATTGGCGTTTTCATAAAATTTAAGCCTTCAAATGATGTTTCGGAAAGTTGGAAAGTAAAACATGGTTGAAGGCATTTTTCAAGTTTATAATTTATGCATTTCAAAAACCGGCTGATGTTATTAACGGATGCCAATCACAAGCGGTGCATTGGCATGAATAACGTTTATTATGGGCTAAACTTGCCAAAATTTTTGAAAAATAACGTTTTACAGATGATAAAATAGTGTTTTGAGGTGCTTGTAAGTTTTAATTTCGGCTTGAAGTCCCTTCGGCTTGAAGTCCCGTCGGCTTGTTGTCCTAGACCCCCCTGGAAGACCACATTGATCGGCTCGATGAGGTAATTGGATGCATAAAAAAAGCAGGCTTGAAATTTAAACTATCGAAGTGTGAAATCCTGAGGGATTCGATCAAGTACCTAGGAAGAATGGTGGACAGGCATGGTGTGAGGCCGGACCCGGAAGCAGTAGAAACTGTGTTGACATGGAAGGCTCCCAGAACATACACACAGCTTATGAGCTTCCTAGGGTTTGCCAACTATTACCGTGAGTTCATAAAAGGATATGCAGACACGGTGTATCCAATGCAAAAGCTGATGCGCAACGAAGGGAAAAAATTCGAATGGAGCGATGAAGCTCAAATGGCCTTTGAGAACATAAAGCGGGAACTGTGCGAGGCGCCAGTGCTGGGCATGCCTACTGAAAAAGGCATGTATGTTCTTGACACAGACGCATCAGTAGTAGCCATCTCGGGAATACTGCATCCGGATCAGGAATGGAATGGGAGAACCGTTCTCCGTCCCATTGCATATGGCAGTAACGTGTTAAGTGACACTGAGATGAAATATGGTGCACCAAAAGCTGCAGAAATGTTTGCAGTAGTCACATTTGTGGAAAAATACCGCGCATACTTGGGGAGCGCTCCCTTTAAGTTACGCGTGGACAACAGGGCGTTATCCTGGTTGAAGACATACTCGATGAATCAGAGTTATATAGGAAGATGGATAGTGAGACTAGATGGCTACCACATGATAATTATTCGAGCACAGGATGCGTGACAAACACCATAATGCTGACAAGCTCAGCAAGAAATACGAGTTCTATGAAAGATTGGAACAGAAGCAAGCCAATCAGGCAGAAATGAAGGAAGGATTCTTGTTTCTGGACAATGAAACTTAAACTTATGGAGCGCTTTCCTTAACGAGATGATTGGACAAGTCTGGACATCCAATTCCAGGACATCCTGAGTTACCTGTGGAGAAGGCAGCCGAGATAAAGATCCTACCCAAGAAGGACCAGGTGCCCTTGGATCTGTTGCTGCGCTCGAACCTGGTCCAGCAGGAACTCTCTCGCATGAACATTAACAGCCTCTCATTAATGGATAAAACGGTCAGGTCACACTGCAAGTGATGCGGATGCTGCGTGGATTGTTAGGGATAGAAGTGACCCGAGATGACCCCGAGTGGGCAGCAGCAGTGGCATCACTGACAGTCAGTGAGAAGGTGAAAATCATGCCGTCCAGACGACAACACAAAGAGAAAGAGAAGGATTGTAGGACAATAGTTCAGCAAATGGTATCCTCAATACCACACGAGGTTTTAACCAGTACTTCTTACGGACGGAAAGAACAGGGGAACGATTGTAACAGTCGCCTACTGCAGTCACATATGAGGCTTAAGAAAAATAGGCCCTATAACCATTGGCTCAAGAGTCAGGGACACTATCTCTTGTGTTTTTCTACCTCAAGAACGGTCGGAGCCAATTCGATTCGCTTGCGACATGAGACTAGAACCCGCTACAGCTTGAAGGCTACTACCAAAATATCCCCCCACTCTAGAAAATAAGAACGTCCCCATACTCAGGTCTCAAAATACCCAAAATACGCGAACGCCGTTAAAAACAGGGTTGGAACAATCCGTTAAGTTACTTTTTATTGGACATTGGAATTTTGATCCATTTCAGATGGATCAACCTAAAACTCGCCTTATCTCAACATAGCAATCATAAAACACACTCGAGAAATTTAAATTGGGGACTCACATGTTGATGCACTCGAGTACAAGGAGTAATTAAATTGGTAAGCAACTCAAGAATTAGATAATATAACTAGATAAGTTTAATACTGGTCAGTTTTGGTAACAGAAGTAAATTCTGGCTCTAGAATTGGAGTTTTTATATGAACCATTGGGACACTCAAGCTGTCCACCTTTCCATTGAAGG